TGTCCCTGGAGATGGTTCAAGACCAGGTTGGATGGAGCTTGGAGGTGTCTCCCATCCCTGGAGATGGTCCAAGACCAGGTTGGATGGGACTTGGAGGTGCCTCTCATCCTTGGAGGTGGTCCAGGACCACGTTGGATGGGTCTTAGATGGGGCTTGGAGGTGTCTCCCATCCCTGGAGATGGTCCAAGACCAGGTTGGAGAAGGTTTGGAGCAACCTGGTCCCTGGACCTCCATCCGTAGATGGTCTTTGAGGTCCCTTCCGACCCAAAGCCACGTGACCAGACCCATCAAAAGTCCAAAAATAAGAAGGACTATGTCCTTTTTTGGGGGGGGGTTCCAGGAGAAGATCCTTGGACGCTTGGACTTCCTGAAGAAGGAGCGACAGGAGCTGCTGGAGTTCAAAGTCAACGACGACAAGAAGACCCAGGAGCTCTTGGTGCGTTGGGCGGGAGGTGGGGGTGGGTGGAGATGACACCTCCTGGTGGCCACATCCTTTGGTCTCCCCATCTTTTCTCCGAGGTCCTTCACCAGGAGGTATCTCCTCACCCTTCCTTGGTGGGTCCTCAAAAACCTTTTTTTGATGGTTTTTCACCCCAGAAAACCATCGAGAATGAGCGGCAGAAGGTCCTCTCGGAGTTCGAGAAGATGAGGCAGTTCCTCCTCGACCAGGAGCACGTTCTCCTGGGGCAACTGGAGAAGATGGAGAAGACCATGGCCAAGAGGCAGAACGAGAACATCAGCGACCTCTCCAAGGAGATCACCCTCCTCAACAAACTCATCACGGAGCTGGAGGAGAAGACCCAACAGCCCATGTTGGAGTTCCTCAAGGTGGGCCTCCAAGTCTTGATGAACCTTCTCCATCTTCTTCTAGATCCTGGAGAAGGTGGTGGTCTTTTGGGGGGAAAAACAAGGGGTTTGGGGGTGTTTTTGAGGAGCAGGAGGTGGTGGCCCCAGATCTGCTGCTTCAGGACCAGCCTGAACCCTCCTGGTTGGGGCTTTCGAAGGGTTCCTGGAGAAGGTGGGGGTCTTTTGGGGGGAAAAACTGGGTTTTTGGGGGGCGTTGTTGAGGAGCAGGAGGTGGTGGCCCCAGATCTGCTGCTCGTTAAGCTCTTGAGATGGTTCTTTTGGTGCCTTCAGACCTTCTGGGCAGAGGTTTGAAGGTCCCAGGGGTCCACCTCCTCCTTGGTGAGGACGTGGGGATAGAGATGGAGCTCAGGAGCTGGAGCTTCTTCTAATTGAAGGCTCGTTAAGTCCTTGAGATGGTTCTTTTGGTGCCTTCAGACCTTCATGGGGTTAAAGGCCCTCCTGGGCAGAGGTTTGAAGGTCCCAGGGGTCCACCTCCTCCTTGGTGAGGACGTGGGGATAGAGATGGAGCTCAGGAGCTGGAGCTTCTTCTAATTGAAGGCTCGTTAAGTCCTTGAGATGGTTCTTTTGGTGCCTTCAGACCTTCATGGGGTTAAAGGCCCTCCTGGGCAGAGGTTTGAAGGTCCCAGGGGTCCACCTCCTCCTTGGTGAGGACGTGGGGATAGAGATGGAGCTCAGGAGCTGGAGCTTCTTCTAATTAAAGGCTCGTTAAGCTCTTGAGAAGGATCTTCTGGTGCCTTCAGACCTTCATGGGGTTAAAGTCCCTCCTGGGCAGAGGTTTGAAGGTCCCGGGTGTCCACCTCCTCCTTGGTGAGGACGTGGGGATGGAGAAGGAGCTCAAGAGGTGGACCTTCTTCTAATTGAAGGCTTGTTAAGCTCATGAGATGGTTCTTCTGGTGCCTTCAGACCTCCTGGGCAGAGGTTTGAAGGTCCAGGGTGTCCACCCCCTCCTTGGTGAGGACGTGGGGATGGAGATGGAGCTCAGAAGGTGGACCTTCTTCTAATTGAAGGCTCGTTAAGCTCATTAGAAGGTTCTTCTGGTGCCTTCAGACCTTCATGGGGTTAAAGTCCCTCCTGGGCAGAGGTTTGAAGGTCCAAGGTGTCCACCCCCTCCTTGGTGAGGACGTGGGGATGGAGATGGAGCTCAGGAGGTGGACCTTCTTCTAATTGAAGGCTCGTTAAGCTCTTGAGAAGGTTCTTCTGGTGCCTCCAGACCTTCATGGGTTAAACGTCCTCCCGGGCGGCCCCAAGAGCTGGGTAAATATTTGCCGTTTTGGGTGAAAAAACTCCTTTCACGAGGACTTTGCGTCACAAAAAACCAACCAAACCACTTTTTTTTTAACCCTTTGGCATCTCCAGGGTCCTTTTCCCTGGTGGAAGGAGAGGGGACATCTTTGGAGCCCCTCCAAGGTCTTCACCGCCCTCGATGACCTTCTTGGTTGTCTTTTTTTGAGGGTAAAGAACGTCCCGGACCACCAAAAACGGCGTTTTTAACCCCAAAATGGACTTCCTTGAGGGCTTAGGTGGCCTTCCGTAGCTCACGTCTTCGTGGTGGGCCACGGTGGGACCCTCCTGAGATGGTGGAGACCTTCGGAGACCATCCTCAAAGCAACCTGAAGGTCCTCCAGATGTCAACATCTGAGCTTCACAACGAGGGTCAGATGTTGGAGAGGTTTTTTTGGGGGGCCACCACCCTAAGAAGGTCCTCCCAACCTCCTTGGGTGGCCTTGGAGCCTCTGGTTGAGATGATGGACCTCCAAAATCCTCAACTGAAGGACTTCTCCTGGAGTAGAAGCACTTTTGGGGGTCCACCACCCTAAGAAGGTCCTCCCAACCTCCTTGGGTGGCCTTGGAGCCTCTGGTTGAGATGATGGACCTCCAAAATCCTCAACTGAAGGACTTCTCCTGGAGTAGAAGCACTTTTGGGGGTCCACCACCCTAAGAAGGTCCTCCCAACCTCCTTGGGTGGCCTTGGAGCCTCTGGTTGAGATGATGGACCTCCAAAATCCTCAACTGAAGGACTTCTCCTGGAGTAGAAGCACTTTTGGGGGTCCACCACCCTAAGAAGGTCCTCCCAACCTCCTTGGGCGACCTTGGAGCCTTGGGTTGAGAGGAAGGACCTCCAAAAGCCACCTCCAACCTCAACTGAAGGACTTGACCTGGAGTAGAAGCACTTTTTGGGGGGTCCACCACCCTAAGAAGGTCCTCCCAACCTCCTTGGGTGGCCTTGGAGCCTTGGGTTGAGTTGATGGACCTCCAAAAGCCACCTCCAACCTCAATCGAAGGACTCCACCTGGAGTAGGAGCACTTTTGGGGGGTTCACCACCCTAAGAAGGTCCTTCCAACCTCCTTGGGTGGCCTCGGAGCTGTGGGTTGAGATGATGGACCTCGAAAATCCTCAACTGAAGGACTTCTCCTGGAGTAGAAGCACTTTTGGGGGTCCACCACCCTAAGAAGGTCCTCCCAACCTCCTTGGGCAACCTTGGAGACGTGGGTTGAGATGATGGACCTCCAAAAGCCACCTCCAACCTCAATCGAAGGACTTCTCCTGGAGTAGAAGCACTTTTTGGGGGTCCACCACCTTCAGAAGGTCCTCCCAACCTCCTTGGGCCACCTTGGAGCCTTGGGTTGAGATGATGGACCTCCAAAATCCTCAACTGAAGGACTTGACCTGGAGTAGGAGCACTTTTGGGGGTCCACCACCCTAAGAAGGTCCTTCCAACCTCCTTGGGCCACCTTGGAGCCTTGGGTTGAGATGATGGACCTCCAAAAGCCACCTCCAACCTCAATCGAAGGACTTGACCTGGTGTTGGAGCACTTTTGGAGGGTCCACCACCCTAAGAAGGTCCTTCCAACCTCCTTGGGTGGCCTCAGAGACGTGGGTTGAGATGATGGACCACCAAAAGCCACCTTCAACCTCAACTGAAGGACTTGACCTGGAGTAGGAGCACTTTTGGGGGGGTCCACCACCCTAAGAAGGTCCTTCCAACCTCCTTGGGTGGCCTCGGAGACGTGGGTTGAGATGATGGACCTCCAAAAGCCACCTCCAACCTCAATGGAAGGACTTCTCCTGGAGTTGGAGCACTTTGGGGGGTCCACCACCCTAAGAAGGTCCTTCCAACCTCCTTGGGTGGCCTCAGGGACGTGGGTTGAGATGATGGACCTCCAAAATCCTCAATTGAAGGACTTCTCCTGGAGTAGAAGCACTTTTTGGGGTTCCACCACCCTAAGAAGGTCCTTCCAACCTCCTTGGG